CTGATGGATTCCTTTCCCTCCAAATATAGCTTCTTTGTAGTATTTTCATTGTCATATTATTTTCAATTACACACAAAAAAATAAAAATAAAAATCTAATCAAGACTTTTAAAATAAAAGACTTAATGAGCTAATGTTTATTTTAGTGCAATACAAGCCTAATTTAAACAATTAAAATAATCTTAAACAAACTTAAACTACATGGCAAGCCAAAATACAGAGAAGAATAAAGCAAAACTAATCAAATTAGGGCAAATTTTAATTTAAATAATCCATAACATTACTTTCAATTTGAGTTAAATGGATCAACTTGCACTCCATTCCTTTCACATTTTTAGTTGACTTTATCAATCTTACCAAAGTATTTGTCATTTAACTTATCAAATCCTCATTATTCTCTTTATCTTATTTCTTCTTAATTACAATTAATTCTTTCTTGGTTCTTATCAGTTGTCTGCCTTCTAATCATGTATCTTTCCTTCTCTTCATCCTACTCTTTTGTTTTTGTTTCTCTGAAAAAAAAATTTGTACATGTGTTATTCTAATTTCTCTACTTTTTCTTTTATAATTATCAACTTTAAGTTTTTAAAGGAAGAAAGCTGAGATTTTTAAGTTATAAAATAAAATTTCTATTAACTCTTTTTATCTCTTTAAAGACTAATAATCATTATATTATACTCTACTTTTATTATATTTGGTCAAATAAATAAAATACAAATTATTTTAAATATAATAGCAAATAATTTATTAAAATAGATATTAAAAATAAAATTAAAACCTAAATTAAATAAATTTGTAAGTGAAATCAGTGTAAATTTTTCAAGTCATGTGTTTTTATTTTTTATATGTTAAAATTAATCTCATCAATACTTAGTATTGTATTATTTAATTGATTTTACAGTGAAGAAGTTATAATGTGTCCCAAGAGGACTACTTTGTGGGAGAAGTCGTTAGCGTGGATACAAGGAAGATTCTGCTGCAGACAAGTTCACTAAAACTGCAGGTAATTATTTTAATTTTTGAAGGAAATAAGTTGAATTATATGGAGTAATTATTTATATAAAAAATATAAATCGATAACTTTTAAAAAAACAAGTGTATTGATTTACACTATTTAAGTTGATTAATGATTTTTATGCATTAAATTTTAATATATAAGAATGAGCTATAATAAACCTTTTTTTTTATAAATTATTATAATGATTTTAGTTCCTAGCAATTTATTTTATGAATAGGTGTAGTACAAAAGTTAATAATAATTTTTGTAAGTTAAAAGATATATAAAATAAAAAATTGATTTATTTATTCTTGATTTGAATTTAAATATTTTATAAATATAACTAATTTAAAATTAAGGTGGATAGATTCTCATTTTATTACTTTACTCCTGTTGGTTGCATCTCTATTCTTGTCATGGTTTAATAAAATGGATTCAGATTCTCTCCCGTAACTGAACGTCTTGTCACGTTGATTTTGTATTTTTGCTTAAGCTAAAATATAAAATTTTGCTTAACTAGACCGTTCAATTCACCCTAAAACGGGAGAGAATCCGATCCTAATAAAAGTGTGAACTTCAAATCCTATGACAGAACGATAAAGTAACAAATTTAATGTTCTATTCAACACACAAATTATGAATCTTTCCGTACCTGATTTTTTCTTCACACACACCTATACTATACATTATTTACACAATTATATAAATATTTATAAATTGCTAAATTTTAAAATAAAAAATTAAATTTTATTTATATGTAATTTTCTTATTTTATAATTTATAGTTTTTATTTTATACTATAATTAAATTATTAAGTTACTTTTTTAAAATAAATGATATTTATTCTTATAATAATATATCATTGATATTATATTTATTTGAGTTTTATTTTGGTGTAATATTAATGTAATTTTTTTTACCGTGAATTAGATTAAACAAAAACATTACGGATACGATTTTATGTTAATCATTACACAAATCAACAAATTTTGTGAATATAATAATATATAATTAGATAATATTCTATTGAAATTAAATATTTTTATTTAGTTTTACATTATTTTATTTGACAATTATTTTGATTATCATAAATTTAAACTGCAAATCTTAAACATTAAATTACTATAATTAGAATAATGCATTGATGTTCGATATAAAAAAAGACTAATGAATATAAAAAGTTGTAAATAATACAAAACAATTATTTAAAAATAATTAATTTGTAACGTCCTTATTTCAAATTTTTGCATAATGTATAATTTAGCAGTTTAATCAATCGCGGTATGCACAAAATATGATTTACAGCATTTAATCCATAAGTAAAAATTTACTATAACTTAAAACTTTACAATAAAAAAACTGTGCATACATTAAATACAATAGTTACAAAATATCTTTCAAAATATAGAGATTTTCCAAATATTTACATCATTACACATTACAAAAGATCCCAGAGCAGCCTCAAGTCTAATCACTATCAGAGTACCAACCCTCTATCGCTGTCAGATCATCAGAATCTCGATCGTCATCCGAACTCAGATATCTGTCGCCAGGGTCAGCTACAACCTCTATCCCAGTAACCCGCTCAACTGTCCATCGGGTAGGGTTCCCAAAAAGGTCATGGTTATGGAACTCGTACAAATAGGAGAGGGTTGCTGAGGTTCTAACGGTACCCCTATATATATCAACACTAAGGGTTTGATGTATCCTATTATTAGAAAAGTCAAAAGGTGTGCTACGGGCAAAGTTTGCCTCTATGGTAATTTCTACACTAGGGTCACTTCCTATTAATACAGCAAATTTAAAATAATTTACCTTCTGGTGTTCATTAAATATAGGGTTTACACCTGATGTTACACTATTCTCTACTATCCTAACTCTTCTCTGAGGGTCCATAATCCTGATTCCCTGAAATGTTTGTAAGGATGAGCATCTACTTTGACGCACAATATCATAAAATCATATAACATAATATACACATCATGCATATAGAATCACCAATCTCACGCATACACACAACAAATCTCACACCAAAGCATTACATAATACTCTCATTCCACATACAATTTCAGCAAACCACTCACTCATCCTCTTTTCTCATATTCCATTACGCACTCTGAGTGCACTGTGATCACAGAAACAATGTCTCTAGCATTTCTGAGGTTTTACTCAATTAGGTAAATAGTCGCCGGTTAGCCCATGTACAAGGATACAACAAGTATAATATCTGGGCTCCTTAGTAAAGGTATAGTCAGATGTTTAGTCAGGAAACGAGTGTGAGACCATGTGGCGCATTCACTCTCAACAGAGTGTGTACACAATGCGAATGTCGTTCACCACCCTCATTTCTCTAATAATCTTATCGTCTCCGGACTCTATATCTCCAGTGTATCTCTATAATTATTCACACTAGATTTTTTATATTTGACTTTTAGAGTCATTCTCAGTAGATTTTCTCATTCACAAGATCGTGCTTAGTAAAGCACTTCCAATCTAATTCCTTTCCCACTCATTCACGCAGAAAATTCTAACAGTATGTTATTCTACACCGCTGACAATTCAGCATATCATTTTACATCAATCTCATATCAGCAAATCATTTCATTTACAGATAACTCAACAGAACTCACCATACTCCACATCAAATATTTACCACACAAAGCAAATAAGCATGTATCGGCCATTTTGGCCCAACAACCAAATCAATCAAATAGACATGTTTTCATCCATCTTACATATAACAAGTATCATATTCAGCTAATATTCCCCCATTCCCTCACAAAAAATGAGCTTAACATACTAGTTTATCCAAACATCAAAATAGAGCTCTCCTTACCTTGAGGACGAGCTTACGAATAACTTTAGAAAAGGAAGAAAGTCCACTGATCAAAGATAGCCTGATTATTAGAGGATATACATCAGGACCAAAACCAAAAATGTTCGGTAAAACAAAAGTTTTTACGCAAAAACTTACCTCAGATCGTTGAGAACTCAAGTCTGAACTAGTTCATGAAGAGAAACGACTTTAATCTCAGTAAAAAGGAGAAAGAGAGATCAGAGAAAATGAGAGAGGGGCGTGCGTTTCAGATAGTTATGAATTTCCATGCTGGAAATTCTTTAAATACCCTTAGATCCCACGAGTCTCGCTTGAGTGACGCCCTCCTCGCCTGAGCGACAATCTCGCTTGAGCGACATCAAGCTCGCTTGAGCGAGATATGCAAAAAGTGGTCCAGCACCTCTTTTTCTGATAAGCTTACTTGAGCGAGATGAGGACCTGAGAGCATGCATTTCACCCGGTGAGTGCAGGCTTGAGCAAGATCCTTTGCACGCAAACACTTCCAAAACCCTACCAAACACATCCCAACACTAATCAACACCATAATACACGTAAACTATAGCAAATTGAGAAAAGGATGTTACATAATTAGTATTAGAAAAAATAAAAAAACACTATAATTACAATAATGTATTTTTGTTAAATATAAAAATACTAATAAATATATAAAGTTGTAAATAATTAAAATATATATAATTAATTAATTAATTAATTTATAATATTAAAACTAAAAAACTAATAATGCGATGTTATAAAATCACAACTCATAGGAATGAAATTATAATAATATAAAAATAGGTATGAAAAAAAATTGTAAAGTAACTATAAATTTTTAAATAAAATAAAGATACAAATTAATAAAAAAGTATAGTTCAATTAATTTTTAGTATTTTAATATAAAATTGTTATTGTATATTTTAATAGAAATTAATAAAAAATATAGTTAAATTAAGTTTTTAAGTGATCAAATGTTTAAATTTGATACCCAGTGTGAACTAATCTTGACTCATATAAAGTTATATCAGTAAAATTATTTGTTAGTGCAAAATCAAAACATTTATAATAACAATTTCATTTAGTAGAAGCTAATCGTAAATGGTATTGTTTTTTGGTAGTGAGTGCATTTTGGCCAAGGGAAAGGAATATCGATTTGCACATTATTTGAAATATGAAAGTGGTAGCTGTTGCACGTCAATTGGGTAACTTGATTACCAACAAAAACATTTTAGAGATTCTCAGGAACGAAGTCAAGAATCTGCAACAAAAAAGACAAAAGGTGCAAGAAAATCCTACTTATTGGGATTCTGAAGAATTCCAGACTAAAAGTAAGTGGTTAAATAGAACTGATGAGTTTTTTAGACAAGTGAATGTATTTTTGAACTACTATGAAGGAAAAGGTTCTTGCACAAATTTTCTATGGTGGTACAATGTTAATAAACAAGCAAGAAAGATGATGCAAGAAATGTTACAATTACAAGAAGAAGGTAATCTTTATCTGTTAGTGAAACCACCAAAAGATTATAAGGCCCCAAAATCAAGAGCAGATACTATAAATGATATTATGGAGGCCTTAAAGGACCCTCTTATCCAAACAGTTGGAGTATGGTGGTTGGGTGGTGGAGGCACAACCTTATTGGCCAAACAGGTTAGAGACCAAGCAGAAAAAGAACAAAAATTGTTCAAAGTTGTTATCATAGATATAGCTGAGAAGCCAAGCTTTGAACAAGTTCAAGAAGGTATTGAAGCTATATTAGGTCTCAAGTTTAATGGGGAAATGCATGTGGAAAGAAGAAATAGATTGCGTCTAAGAATAAAGAAAGAGGAAAAAATTCTTATCATCATTAATGATATATGGGGAGAATTGAATCCTCAAGAATTTGATTTGGACGAAATTGGAGTTCCTTTGGGTGATGAACATAAGGGGTGTAAATTATTGCTAATATCAAAAAGTTTGGATTTCATCCAAAATTTGATGGGTGCTCCTAAGGCTAAGATATTTCAACTAGAAATGTTACTAGAAGAAGAGGGTCAGAGCTTGTTTTTAAAGATGGTTGGAGACATTGCTCAAGATTCTGACGCAAGTTCCATAATAACTGAAATAGTGAAAAGTTGCGAAGGTTTAGCTCCTGCAGTTTTTGCTATAGCCAAGGTATTAGAAAAGAAAGACCACTGTGCTTTGCAAGTTGCCTTGATGCAGCTAAAGGAACATGTTGCACCAATAAGACTATGTTACAATAGTTTAGAGAGTGAAGAACACAAATTCTTGCTCTTGATTCTTACCATCAGGGGAAGGAGAGCCGTGAACAAGTATAGTATATACATAGACATGTGGGAAGGTTTATTAAAATATCTTGATACAATAGAGGCTGCAAGAAGTAGGTGTGATTCATTAATCAGTGATCTTAAGGCCTATGGTCTTCTGGTTGAAGATGAAAATGAAAATGTCAAAATAAATGACTTGATATGGCACACTGCTTATTCAATGGCTCAAAGTGATCTAAAAGCTTCAATGATTTCTACAGAATGGCCAATTGAAGAATGGTTGAGAAGTTTACGCTTCTGCAACATGGCTATTGTGAATGGTGCACAGGTTCCTGAAAGGTTGCAATGTCCAGAAATGCAAGAGATTATACTAAGTACTGACAATCCCTTAATGCAGGTTCCAAATTCATTTTTTGATGAGACTAAACTTCTGAAAGTATTAGAACTTATTGGCTTTGATTGTTCAAAACTACCTTCTTGTTTTGGTTCGATAAAGAACCTTCAAGCATTATCCATGTCCAATTGCAAATTGGGAGACATAACTATAGTTGGTGAGCGCACAAACCTACAAATTCTTGGCCTTCTTGGAAGTAGAATCCAACAATTGCCTAGACAAATTGGACAACTTCAGAACTTGCTAATCTTGGATTTAAGAGACACATATCTCCAAGTATTTCCATCCAATGTTCTGTCAAACTTAACTAGTTTAGAAGAATTATATTTGAGAAACTCCTTTTGCAATTGGGAGGTTGAAAGATCCAATAGTGAAAACAGAAATGCAAGCTTGAAAGAGCTAACAAACTTGCATCGCTTGGCATATATAGAAGACTTGTATGTTCCTGATCCTCAAGCATGGCCAATGGACCTGTACTTTGAAAAAATTAAATCATACACAATTTTCATTGGGAATAGGTGGGTTGAGACCCATAATGGTGATCATGGGTTAAAAGTATTGAAACTCAAGCTCGATAGAAAGTTACAATTGGAGGATGGAATTAAAAGGATTGTGAAAAATGTTGATGTCTTACACTTAGATGAACTGTATGGTGTCCAAAATATTCAGAGTGAATTGGACAGTGATGGGTGTCCCCATCTACAATCTCTCTTTGTACAAAACAATGCTGAAATCAAATGCATAGCCATGAGTTCGAGTGATGCTCATCACATTGATGCTTTCCCCAACTTAGAGTCTCTGTCTCTCGACAATGTAAGCAATTTAAAGCACATATGCCATGGTTCTCTAAGTGAAAAATCTTTCTTGAAAATAAGAGTCATCAAAGTACAGCAATGCCATGAAATGAAATGTCTCTTCTCAAATTCAATGATCGAAGGTCTTCCTCATCTTGTTGATTTAGAAGTTTCAGAGTGCAAACTCATTGAGGCAATTGTGGTTGGAGGAGAGAAGAGAACACCTATAGTATTTCCTCAATTACGCTCTCTATCATTACAAGGACTCCCTGCATTATTTTGTTCTATACGTCTTCTTACGATGAACCCCCACCTTTTGATTATTACCATGACATCCCACTTTTTGATGATAAGGTATGTATATATTTCAAGTCCAATGTTAAAGTATTAAAGTATTACAAATTACTAATTTTTCTTCTAGTATTTTTCTTTTCATTACAATTCCAAAGGTATAATCCTTATACATAAAATAACAAAAACTAAATAAAAAAGCCAAAATAAAGAGATGTTGAAATTTTGTGTCAATCAAGTGACAAACGATTCTATCAATGCTAAATAATTTCATTTGCTAATTATGTTCATTAATGTGGTAATATATTATTACTTGTATATATGCAGATTTCTTGCCCTAATTTGGAGAGAATGGTGATTTCCAAGGTTATCAAATTAAAATACATATGGGATTTTCGATACAATGTTGAAAATTCATTTTGGAAGCTGAAGAACGTATGCATCGAAGATTGTCATAAACTGAGGACCGTTTTTATTCCTTGTTTACAATTAAATCTTCAATATTTGAAGATTTTAGTCGTCAAAAATTGCAGTTCAATGGAGTACATTTTTCTTTTGGATGATGAGGACGGTCGATTTGGAAAATCAAGCCCTATCCAATTGATTTGTTTAACTCTACTTCAGCTATCAAAATTGCTATGGGTATGCTTTCTGTTGGGAGATATCAAAGGTAAATTATTATATTGTAATGATATTTTTCAAAACATGAGGAGCAATTTGGTTTGAAAAGTTATTTTTAAAATTTTACTTTTAGTTAAAAATATGTTATCTTATTTTTTGTTTATTAAGAACAATAAAAAAATGTCTCTTTTTTTGTCACTACAAATCTTTAAAAATAAAATGATAATTTTATAATTAAAATATAAAAAGCACGTTCTTAAACCAAAAGTCTATAAAAGTATTGTGATATGAAATTTGACGACTTTTAGATGCTTTATCTGTAGTTGAATTTCCTGAAATGGCCAATATGCATCTTGAAGAGTTGCCATCATTTTTGGGGCTGTTCAGTAAAGGTTATGCTGAATTGCCATCTTTGGAAAAAGTAGTTGTGAACCACTGCCGCAGATTGTCTGATTTTGGATTGGGAAGGATAGAAAGGTCACTGTTGAAGTCAATGATCATAGACAATCAAGACCAAATTCACAATGATGCCCAAATTAGTCAAGTTTTTTACTTATTGGTTAGATCTCTCTCTTAAAAATCCAATGAGTTTCTTCTTCTTCTGCTTCTTATTCTTCTTTTTTAAATCTACACTACATATTTATAGTTTATTATATTTATTTATATATTTTTTCGTAACAATCCTTAAAAATTCTAACACAACCAGAAAAATTAGTATTAATTTTAAAACCCTAAAAATTATATTCTTGATATTCTGAATTAGACCAACAATATAAAATGATAGAAACAATTATTTTTGAAATAGTTAGGTAATGGAATTGGTTAGTACTTTACATTATGTTTGAATTATTTTTGAAGGGATTTACTAAAGCAAGAAAAATCTGACAGGATACTGCACATGACTTAACTATTGATGGGGATGAGGAATTAAGCAAAGCAGAGGAATTATGTGAACAGAAACCTTTCTTTCTGTCTTCCCTTACAATTTTTAAAGCAAAAAATTGTAGCAATGGAAACCGTTTGTGTCAATTTTTCTCCTACTTGGAAGAGAGGTCTACACTGCTTGAACATATCACCATTGAACACTGCAGAACATATCCATATCTATTTTGCATAAAGTCTTCTAATCTCAATTCCTTGAAGGAATTGGTATTAATGGAATTACTTGACCTGGAGAACATATGGGAAAAACATGTCCTTTACGTTACGCTCAATAATTTGAGAAAGATATACATCAAGAGTTGCCCCTCTTTGATGGAAGCCTTTCATTATAGAGTTGAAGAGCTCCCCCAACTGAATGAATTGAAGATTCAAGAATGTGGCAAGTTAAAAAGACTTCTTCCATATTATTTTAAATTTGAATCCCTAGCATTGAGCAAAGTGGAGCTTGTGTACCTCCCAGAATTAATCAAGTTCCATGAAAACGATAGTGATGCACAATTCCCAGTTTTAAAAACATTGGTTATTGAAAAATGTCCTAACTTGGAAATATTCACCAATGGGCTTGCAACTGCATATGATTTGCCAGAAAATCGTTTCTTTTTTGAGTTTAATGAACTCAAGTTGGATACTTGCCACACGTTGGTTTATGTCATTTCCTCCAAGGCTTTACAAGAGTTTCCAAAATTGACGAAACTCACTGTAAGTCATTGTAACACATTGAAAATGATATTCCACATCAAAGAGGAAATATCATATTCTACAGAGCTTTTGCAGCAGCTAACTGAATTGACTTTAACTGACCTACCCAATCTGACTCACATCATCAACAAAGAAATTATCAGGTGCTACGAAAATCTCCAAATCCTAGAAGTGAAGCAATGCAAGTCTCTTAAATCACTACAAGCCTCTAAAATGCTAACAAATATGCAAGTTTCGGATTGTGAGTCTTTAGGGAAAATTGTCGTGATGGATGAAGGACAAGAAATGGGAGAGAATAAGACCTCATTTCCTCAGTTGAAGTATGTTTCTCTTGAAAATCTAACAAAACTCTCAACTGTATTTCCTTCTCAATCTCAATTTCCATCCTTGGAAACATTGATAATCACAAATTGTCCTGCTCTCATCACTTTTCTTGATGAGTCCAATGAGCATAAGGATCACCCAGAACCTGCTACTTCAGACTATTTCTTCCCAAGTTCTGTAAGTTTATCAAAATTATAATATTCATTTTCATTTTATATATCTTCTGCACTTGTGATATAATCTTATGGTCAATCTCACTTTTGTATCAAAGTCAAAGCCATCATGTTTATGATGGAAAGGAATTGAATGATATAATTGTAGTATGCTACACGATCAACTATATTTATATTACAATTCATTTCATATTTCCTATGTAGTTTTGTTTTCATCTCCACTCCTAGACATTGATAATTACCATTTATTCCTTTCAGCTGTCATTGAACAAGTTGAAAGTACTTTGTATAATAGACCAGGAGGATATTAAGAAACTCTGGCACTACAATTGTCCCCCAGAATCATTTTGTGAACTAGAAAATCTAACTTTGATAAACAACAAATTGTTGAATGTCATCACATCCAACATGATCAAAAGATATGACAATCTAAAATCTATGACTGTGGACAAATGCGAATTAATGACAGAGGTATTTTACATTGAAGATGACAAGCAAAATCAGAAAATTCAAGAAATGTTTCCTCGACTGAGTATATTAGCATTGAGCAACCTAAAGAGATTGAGATGTCTCTGGAACAAGGAACCTCAAGTTCTATTTTTCTCAAATTTGATGTCACTTCACATTGTCCACTGTGGTAGCCTCAAAAGTTTATTCTCATCTTCTTCTGCCAAAAATCTTAAAAAACTCAAATTACTCAAATTGTGTGATTGTGAAAAAATAGAAGAGGTCATATCAATTGATAAAAGTGAAAGTGTATCCATCATTTTTCCTGAAGTAGAATGCCTTGTACTAAAAAATCTTCCAATGTTGGTCAGTTTTTGTCAGCAAAGTGGAACTTTTGAGTGGCCTAAATTACAAACAGTGAGGGTGAGCAATATTCCAAATATGAAGACTTTTTTAGGATGTCATGTCAAGACACCCTCGTTAAGATCAGTTTATATAACATTTGTTAAGAAATATTGGCTAGGGAATTTAAACAAGACCATAGCATGTATCCATCAAGATTCAGGTATGTAAATTTTAATATTACATGCAAAACTTAGAATAATATAAAAGTTAGTGACATATATGCTTTCTGAAATATTCCTCTTGTATGTTTTTATTTTAAATTATTGAATGACAATAGTTTTCTTTTGGCATTATATTAACATGTTTCTAACTTTTTTGAAAAATTCTAAACTTTAGGACTGGAAAATCTAACTTTGAGTTACAACAATTTGTTGAGAGGCATTTCTTCCAATATGATCACAAGATACAGCAATTTGATAAATTTGACTATGGACAATTGTGAGTTACTAACTGAGGCATTTTACCTTGAGGATGACAAACAAGATGAGAATATCAAAGAAATGCTTCCTCAACTGAGGACATTAACATTGAGCAACCTAAAGAGTTTGACATATGTCTGGAACAAGGAACCTCAAGTTCTCTTTTTTCCAAATTTGGTGTCACTCAACATTGTCCACTGTGGTAGTCTTAAGAGTTTATTCTCATGCTCTACTACCAAAAACCTTGGTAAGCTGAAATTACTCAAATTGTGTAACTGTGAGAAAATAGAAAAGATATTTTCAGATGATAAAGAAGAAAATGTATCCATCATTTTCCCTGAAGTAGAGTGTCTTATACTCAAAGACCTTCCAAAGTTAATTCGTTTCTGCCAGCAATGTATAACTATTGATTGGCCTAAATTACAAAAAGTGAGTGTGAGCAACATTCCAAATATGAAGACTTTTTCAGGAGGTCAAGTCAACACACCATTGTTACGATCAGTTTATATAACATTTGTTAAGAAATATTGGCTTGGGAATTTGAACAAGACCATATCATATATCCATCACAATTCAGGTATGTAAATTTTAATTATACACTTTTAAATTAAAATATTATAAATTTAAATATATGTTTAATCTTGTATATTTACGGAATTTTGATTCTAGTCAATAAGTACTTATTACTAGTTTTAGCCTCTCTTTTTTTTTTATAATTAAATAATTTTGATTGCTTGTGATTTCATGACAGATTGTCATATATTAACCATTTGTTGTACTATGTTAATAAAAAGGAATAAAATTGCTAAATTTAGAAAAAATACGGGTTAAAACTTAAAAAAAGAACTAAAATCAAAATCTTGGAAAAATATAAAAATTTAAAATATGTTTGAGTCCCAATTATAATATAATGGTGATACAATAACATATGCTTATTGAAAGATGTTATTAGTAAAACAAATTTTCTTAATATAATATACTATAGATGACAAAAATTTTATTTTGATATTATTAATATGATTTCAAATGTTTTAAAAAATGCCAATTTTCTTTAGGATTTTGTACTGTTTTTAGTGGAGTTTTTTCGGACCACTTTCAAACCATGTAGAAAAGCAATTGCAAGATTACGATAAGACTTTTATTTTCTTGAATTTTTTGAAGGACATCAATTTCAAATGAAATTGATGGAATACTAAAGTGTTGAGTGAAGTGATTTTGTTTCTTGTTTACGCAAAGTAAAATTCACAATAAATAATTGAATATATTGTTTGATTGAATCTTAAATTTATTAGACGATCGATGTATGAATTTTTCCTTTCTTTTAAAGAATGGCTTCTTTGGAAATAATATATGAAATCTCACTTATATATTGCAAAATTTTATCTGCATGAGTTAATTCAGAATTAATGGAAATGCTTAAAGCCAAGGAGAAAGGAATTGAAGCAACTTATTTGGCACTAAAAGATAAAGAAGATGAGCACTGAGCAACCTTTAATAAGGCTTTTGTTAAGGTTGTTTGTCCTGTGTAGGTAATCTCAAGTCTAACTTTCTAACATACGGTGTAAGTAACATTTCCTTTTTAAAACAACAATTGTTACATGTTTAATATTTCTTATAAAATAATAAGGACATAAAATATTCAAATTATAGTATTTAAACTAAGTGAATGAAATGAATAAATTTTTCAGGCATTATTAGAATAGAATCAATTGACACTGAGTAGTAAATTTGGATAGTTACACTTTTTTAAATAGCTTTGTTTTTATATAAAATTAATCTGTTTAATAAATAGCTTAAATAGTGTAAGTGATTAAGTTATAATGTTATATTACTTATGATAAGTACTACAGAATTTTTGTTCAAAAGTTCATGATTGCTCTTAATATATATTATGTAGCTATAAATGTAAGGAAAAAAATGTAATTATTTGGTAACTTTAGTTTATTTCTTATTAAGCCTTTTTTTTTTTCAATGTTAGGAATGGAACACAGGGAGGTATGAAAGATAAGAACACAGCAGAATGGAAAAGACCCCCAAGAAATGCTGCAAAGTCATATTAACTAGTCATAAACATCTATACTGCAAAAGTTTCAGATGTAATTCATACTGATGTAAATATTTTAAAATAATATAGTAATGAAGTTAATGAGTTTGTAATTCATACTTATGTAAATATTAAAAGTATTTTTTAATAGTTATTTTAAACAAAAGTATTTTTAAGAATTAGTTTTTTTCTAACTAAGCCATGTAACTTTTCATATATTGAATTTTTCATCAACTTGTAATGGTCTGCACATATACCAAAATGCTATTAAATATAAAAAACTAAATGCTATTTAAAATGCGAATTTTCCCTTTGATTCAAACACTTGAATATTAAAAGCAATAATTTTTTATATTCGTAATCTGACATATACTTTTAAGCAAAGATATAACTAAAACTTCATCAGGAATCACATTAATTGACAATTTAAGTATTAATTGCAGCTTTTTAAGATATTACTTAGGCCGGTCTAATCGTAAGGTCGTTAGACTTAAAGCTTTGGTCCTAAAAATATAATTTTATTTATTAATAATATTTTTTAAAATATTAGTCATGTAATGAAACATATATTTTTTTTACTGGAAAACGAATCTCATTGACTCTTCTAAAATAAAGAGTTATAATTAACAGTATATATTAGTCAATAATTTATTTTAGATTTACTTGAATTTTTAGTTAGTTAATACTTTTGCGATTATTTAACTATAATGACATTTAACTAATGATAATTTAATTGTATTTCAATAAAATATAAACTTACAATATTGAGTTATTAATTTTAAATGAGATTTTAGGAGGAATATAACATAAAAGTTCTAAAAATAATAAATAAATGAAAAATCTTTTAAATATAAAAATAAGAATTAAATAATAGTAGGCTTTAGTATTCTTGATCAATTTAATAGTTTACTATAAACATTGAATTGAATTTAAGAATTAGTTTTCTAAATGATATGAGTCAAATATTTTAATTTTTAAAATTTTAGAAATTATCTGTAAGTCTTTAAATTAATAAAATGACATTTATCTTAGTATTTTTTAAGTATATAATAATGATAAAAAAATAAACTTTAAAATAAAACTTCTTTATTTAGTGCTTTCACGATTATTTATGGATTAGTTTTATATTTATTTATACATTTGTTAAATTAATATTTGAATAAGACTTGGATTCTTTAACCAAATATGTTAATCAAGAAATAGAAAAAAATGTGAATGTGTTCTTATAACTTCTTGAATTTTCATACCTACCCTAGCACAACAAATTCAAAAATTTATAAATATTAATTAAGTAAAAAGACAATTAAACTAAAGAATTGAACTTTAACTAATTAAATAAATTTGATTATCACTTACAGTAATATATTTAAATTAAATCCTATATAAAAAGCAAGATTACAATAAAATTATTTTTCAGAGTTCAATAATGTTGTAATGATCCACGTAACTGACTATTTATTAAAATAAAACTTGATTGTTTATATATATAATAAGGTATGTTAAGACTATTTAATAAGTTTAGTGCTTGAAGTATACTGAGTCATACCATTATCTATAGTAGTAATATCACCTTGATTGGTTTCCATTATTTCCATGGAGTTAAGGGTGCCTATTAGTGGATTTGTATTCCTCTGGTGCCCCTAAATTTTAGTCCTTAACTAGGTTAAATCCTAACAAACTTTCCATGAAACCCCCTCCATTACTCATAAGATTTGAAGTTTTTTTCCCTCATTAATTTTTTTTTATCAGCATCTAGATTCATTTTATATACCACATTAGATCAGAGGAACTGAGCCTTTGTCAGAGAAACAATGTGTCTTACTTTTTATTTATTTTCTCTTGATATAATTTTTTATAATTTTTTTTTGCAATCATCTATTTTTACATTTATTAAAATTAAATTTATTTATTTTATTTATTTATTTAATTTAGTTTACTTTTAAGAGTCTTATTTTTTATTTATAGTTAATAATATATAATGATTATTGAAATTTAATTATTTTTTTGATATTATACAATAAACGTATTATTGTAAAATAAATTATATTTTAATTTTTTTAAAATAAAGTGTCTTGTCAAAATTAGTTCCTTTTCATATAAAATAAGATATTTATAAATTATATTTTTGTCTAAATAATAAGTATCTTTTAGTGATAGTACTATTATACTTAGGTGTGATGATTATAAGTTATAAATATCTGACTGTATTTAATATAATTATATTCATTGAAACTTATACTTCATATTAAATCAGAAACTTGATTTATTATATTATTTTATTTTTAAATAAAACTTGATTAAGATTTCTGAGTAAAAATAGTTTAAAAAAAGACTAAAAATGTCTGTATAATACATAAAAATATAGAAAGCAAGAAAAAAAAAACACAAACACTTGTTTATTTATTTATTTATTATTATCTAAAAAAATCAAAACAAAAGAGCAGAACTGTACAATTAGTTGATCATCATGCTAAACTATTATGCAAAATTAAAAAACAAAAAACAAAAAACAATTCATTTATTTTTTTGTATATTGCAACTACAATCCATACTGTGTGCTTGACATATGATACACATATAATGTGTATTGCACACTATAAATGCAATACATATGAATTTAAATTTTAAAAATTTAAATATGTGGGCATAGGAAAGGAGAGCTGTGATCATACAACTTCTGAAAATATATTGTCCCTGCAGCAGCAAGACTAATTTCACCTTCGCAAGGAAAAGAAAGAAGCAAAGAATAAATTCAGAAACATAAAACACACAAAGAAGAAAAAAAAAAGCATTTTAATAACCTATGTTTTAAGCATAGAATAATTAAAATTTTATGTTAAGGAAAGTATTCATGAAAACTTGTAGAATCTAACTTTTCTTATAGAGATAAGCAAATAATCTCCAAAGTTATTGAAAGTTGGAAAAAGAAGGCACACTTCACTGCAAGTTCATAAATAGAGTTTTTAAATAATTTATTAAACCTTCTCATTCTTCTTCTTGACCTTGTTGGTGCCCTCCCTCACTTGTGGAATTTGAAGTGCATTCCAGCGTTATACTCACCTTCATACGTGTAATCCTCAAGTTCAGGTAATAGCTTTCTCATATTTCTCATTTAAATAGTAAAAGAAGTACTATAATTTCCGTTTATTTCTAATTATATATATATATATATATATATATATATGTGATTTTATAATTGATTTAATGAGTCATATTTCGTTAATATTTATTTTGCATATGTGGTGCATGAAAAATCAATTTATTGATGGGTCACATCTGAATTTTAGCGATGATAGGGGAAGAAAACATTGATAACAGTTCGCACTTTGATTTTAAGACAAGCTTGGAATCAGATCTTAAAATGAATACCAGAAATAAAAACCATACTTGGTCGCATTACGAACTTGGAATTAACCTTTCAATCTTGAAAATGGAGTTCTAATCAAATTTTTAATGTCACGTCTGACTTCTAGAAATGGGATTTCAACTTCTCAGCAGTTTTGAAGACTACCATCATTCTAATTTGTAAATTAGCATTTTTATTAAATATATTATAATATATTGAGAATCATAAAATTAATATAATATTATAATTTTCAATAATAATTTCTAAATTTGTATACTTTGAAATATTAATAAAATGATTGTTTTTTTTATATATTCTCATATGTTTGCAGCCACTATTGCAATCTTGGATGAATATGATATGATATGATATGATATGATATATATACATGATGAAGAGATTAGAGAGAAGGAGTTTGGCATATAGCTGCCAGTTTGTTGCATGTTAAGAGTTATGAAATGGTCATTATATAAAGCTTAAGTTTTAAGTTAAATATACGCATTAATATTCTATATTATAATTTTAATACATATGTATCCTTGTGTTTTAACTTTAAATGGGATGTTAAGAATCAAAGTTTAGAACACTTCATCATAAATTAACACTATCATATTAATTATTTTGAGAAGTTTAGGTTATTAGGTAAAGAGTAGACTTGTGGAAGTGTGTTTGTGCTGGGAGCCAATAACTTTACACCTTGTCATGTCTTTATTCTAACATCATTGTTTAATACTTTTGAAACACAGACTCTACAATTGTGATTTCGCAAGCTACAAATGTTGAAATAAGATAAGGTTAACTAAATAACATATATCTAAACTTGCAAGAATATGAAATCAGCATAATATAAAGATCTTTTTCTTGAAAAAAAATAATAATTTTCTAATCTAGTGACCAACTCCAGATGTGATGTTCTTAATAGTAACCGAATCCAATGAACATGTGACATTTCTCTAATTTCATCTCGATCTATTTAGCCTGTTAATAATATAAAACATAATAAAGACAAAATTTAGTTGTCTCAAATTTATTTCGTCTCTAATTAGTCAACTAAAATAAATGTATACTTGTGACTAAATTAGTTGAGACATTATCCATCTCATAACTTTTTAGTCTCTAATTTTGTTTTTAATTAGAATAAATAATAGTTTTCTTTAAAATGTAAATTATCTAACAATAAATTAACACTTTTAATTTATTTTCAAACAAAATTACTTCTTAAATTATATTTTGATTGTTTTTAGTTGATATTTTTAGTATGAACTGAAAATATATTAATTTATTATATAAATAAAATGACATGTATTAATTGAAATAATTTGTTTTTAAGATTATAGTTCTCACTTTTAAAACTTTTAATTTATTAAATTAAATAAAATGACTATATTGTGCCGCCAAGAGGAACACTTCACAATAGCTGTCGTTGGCGATGGTGCAGAGTAACATTTTGCTGGAAATGAGCTCACTAGTCTGCAACAAGTAATTTATCAAGGACTAATATCTGAACAAGGTAAATTATAGGGACCAATTATTTATACATAAAAAAAGGGATTATTTACTTTTAACAAAATAAGTAAATTTATTCTCATACTTTATTTAATTTAAAATAACTAATAATTTTAATTTATTAAATTTTAATGTATAAAAATGAAATATAACAAACTTTTTGTAACAAATTATTTAGTGATTTTGATTCCTAACAATTTCTTCTATGAATAGGTGTAATACAAAAAATTATTAAATATTTTTTTAAAAGTTGAAAGATATATAAATCAATAAAGTGATTTATTTATCCATGATTTAAATTTAAATATTTTATAAAAAAATAATTTAAATTGAGGTGAATAAACTTTGACTTTCTTACTTTACTCACTTTAAAGGAGTTAAATTTGATTTATTGTATCTCCATTCTTGGCATAGTCTAATAAAAGCATCGATTTATAGATTATAATAATTTAATTTTGACAGATTATATATTAATATAAGCTAATTTTAAAATGATATTTTTTTTAGTAGTGATACGTTGGCCAAGGGAAAGAAAGGTCAATTTGCACATTATTTGAAACATGAAAGTAGTAACTGTTCCACGTCAATTGGATAACTTGATTTCCTACAAAAGTATCTTGGAGAATCTTAGAAACGAAATTAAGAATCTGCAACAAAAAAGACAAAGGGTGCAAGAAAATCTTACTTGTTGGGATTCTGAGGAATTCCAGACTAAAAGTAAGTGGTTAAATAGAACTGATGAGTTTTTGAGACAAGTGAATGTATTTGTGAACTACTATGAAGGAAAAGGTTCTTGCACAAATTTCCTATGGTGGTACAAGGTTAATAAACAAGGAAGAAAGATGATGCAAGAAATGTTAAAATTACAAAAAGAAGGTAATCTTCATCTATTAGTGAAACCACCAAAAGATTATAAGGCCCCAAAATCAAGAGCAGATACTATAAATGATATTATGGAGGCCCTGAAGGACCCTCTTATCCAAATAGTTGGAGTATGGTGGTTGGGTGGTGGAGGCACAACTTTGTTGGCCAAACAAATTGGAGACCAAGCAGAAGAACAGAACTTTTTCAAAGTGGTTATCATAGATATAGCTGAGAAACCAAGCGTTGAACAAGTTCAAGAAGATATTGAAGCTATATTGGGTCTCCAGTTTCATGGGGAAATTTATGTGAAAAGAAGAAATAGATTGCGTTTAAGAATAAAGAAAACGAAAAGGATTCTTATCATAATTAATGATACGTGGGGAGAATTGAATCCTCAAGAACTTGATTTGGACGAAATTGGAGTTCCTTTGGGTGATGAACATAAGGGGTGTAAATTATTGCTAATATCAAAAAGTTTGGATTTCATCCAAAATTTAATGGGTGCTCCTAAGGCTAAGATAGTTCAACTAGAAGTGTTACTAGAAGAAGAGGCTCAGATCTTATTCGAAAAGATGGTTGGAGGCATTGCTCAAAATTCTGAGGCAAGTTCCATAATAACTGAAATAGTGAAAAGTTGTGAAGGTTTGGCTCCTGCAGTTTTTGCTATAGCTAAGGTGTTAGAAAACAAAGACCTACATGCTTTGCAAAATGCCTTGATGCAGCTAAAGGAACATGTTGCACCAATAAGACTATGTTACAATAGTTTAGAGAGTGAAGAACACAAATTCTTGCTCTTGATTCTTACCCTTAGGGGAAGGAGAGCCGTGAACAAGCATAGTATATATGTAGACATGTGGGAAGGTTTATTAAAAAATCTTGACACATTAGAGGCTGCAAGAAGTAGGTGTGATTCATTAATTAGTGATCTTAAGGCCTATGGTCTTCTGATTGAAGATGAAAATGAAAATGTCAAAATAAATGACTTGATATGGCACACTGCTTATTCAATAGCTCAAAATGATCTAAAAGCTTTAGTGATTTCTAAAGAATGGCCAACTGAAGAATGGTTGAGAAGTTTACGCTTTTGCAACATAACAATTGTGAAAGGTGCACAGGTTCCTGAAATGCTGCAATGTCCAGAAATGCAAGAGATTATACTAAGCACTGACAATCCCTCAATGCAGGTTCCAAATTTATTTTTTGATGAGACTAAACTTCTGAAAGTATTAGAACTTATTGGCTTTGATTGTTCAAAACTACCTTCTAGTTTTGGTTCGATAAAGAACCTTCAGGCATTATCCATGTACAATTGCAAATTAGGAGACATAACTATAGTTAGTGAGCTCACAAACCTACAAATTCTTGGCCTCTTTGGAAGTAGAATCCAACAATTGCCTAGAGAAATTGGACGACTTCAGAAGTTGTTAATCTTGGATTTAAGAGACACATATCTCCAAGTGATTCCATCCAATGTTATATCAAACTTAACTAGTTTAGAAGAATTATATTTGAGAAACTCCTTTTGCAATTGGGAGGTTGAAATATCCAACAGTGAAAACAAAAATGCAAGCTTGAAAGAGCTAACAAACTTGCATCACTTGACATGTATAGAAGAGTTGTATGTTCCTGATCCTCAAGCATGGCCAATGGACTTGTACTTTGAAAAAATTAAATCATACACAATTTTCATTGGGAATAGTTGGGTTGAGACCCATAATGGTGATCATGGGTTAAAAGTATTGAAACTCAAGCTCAACAGACAGTTACAATTAAAGGATGGGATTAAAAGGATGATGAAAAATGTTGATGTCTTACACTTAGATGAACTGTATGGTGTCCAAAATGTTCTGAGTGATTTAGACGGTGATGGGTTTCTCCATCTACAATCTCTTTTTATACAAAACAATGCTGAAATCAAATGCATAGCCATGAGTTCTAGTGATGATCATCACATTGATGCTTTCCCCAACATAGAGTCATTGTCTCTAAAAAGAGTAAGCAATTTAAAGTACATATGCCACGGTTCTCTAAGTGAAAAATCTTTCTTCAAAATAAAAGTCATCAGAGTACAGCAATGCCATGAAATGACATGCCTCTTCTCAGACTCAATGATCAAAAGTCTTCCACATCTTGTTGATTTAGAAGTTTCAAAGTGCAAACTCATTGAAGCAATTGTGGTTGGAGGAGAGAAGAGAACACCTACAGTGTTTCCTCAATTACGCTCTCTATCATTACAAGGACTCCCTGCATTATTTTGTTTCTATACGTCTTCTTACGATGAACCCCCACTTTTTGATTATTACCATGACTTCCCACTTTTTGATGATAAGGTATGTATATACTTCAACTCCAATGTTAAAGCATTAAAGCATTACAAATTACTAATTTCGCCTCTAGATTTTTCCTTTCATTACAATTCCAAATGTATATACATAAAATTAACAAAACCAAATAACACAAGTCAAAACAAAGAGATGTTTGAAATTGTGTCAATCAAGTGACAAATAATTCCAAATAATTTCATTTGCTAATTATGTTCATTAATATGGTAATATATTATTAAGTGTGTATGTACAGATTTCTTGTCCTAATTTGGAGAGAATGGTAATTTCCAAGGTTATCAAATTAAATTGCATATGGGATTTTCGGTACAATGTTGCAAATTCATTTTGGAAGCTGAAGAACGTATGCATCGAAGATTGTTATAATCTGAAGACTGTTTTTACTCCTTCCTTACTATTAAATCTTCAATATTTGAAGATTTTAGTCGTCAAAAATTGCAGTTCAATGGAGTACATTTTCCTTTTGGATGATAAGGACAGTCAATTTGGAAAATTAAGGCGTATCCAATTGATTTGTTTAACTCTACTTCTGCTACCAAAATTGCTATGTGTATGCTATCTGTTGGGAGATAAAGAAGGTAAATTATTATATTGGAATGATATTTTTCAAAACATGAGAAGTGATTTTGTTTAAAAAATTATTTTTAAAATTTTACTTTTAGTTACAAAAATGTTCTTATTTTTTGTTTATAAAAATATATCGATCTAGGAAGCTATAAGAATAATTAAAAAAATGTTTTTATTTTTATCACTACAAATATTTAAAAATAAAAGATGAAATAATAATAAAATGATAATTTTATAATAAAAATACAGAGCACTTTCTTAAACCAAAAGTCTATAAAAGTATTATAATATGTACTCCATTGAAGGAGGAAAGATGGACTGGACTGAAACATAATAAAATTTGTATTATCATTTGAATAGAAAGAAAATGGAAAGGAGTTTCTATTGGGTGCATTACAAAGTTTAGTAACAACAAACAATATTTTCTTTGTGGGTAGTGATCGAGGTAGTGAAGGAAATAGATTTTTATTTGTTTATTTATTTGCGTTTTATTTTCTTCCTTTTTTATGTTCATTGAAAAATAATATGTTTACTTATCTTGTTTTATTTATTTATTTACTTATTCTTTTATGCTGAATAATTGAGAAAAATTTGACGACATTTAGATGGTCTACCTGTAGTTAAATTTCCTGAAATGGCCAAAATGCATCTTGAAGAGTTGCCATCAATATTGGGGTTTATCAATCAAGGCTATGTTCATTGGTCATCTTTGGAGAATGTAGTTGTGAACCACTGCCCCAGATTGTATAATTATGGTTTGGGAAGGATAGAAAGGTCACAATTGAAGTCAATGATCATAGACAATCAAGACCAAATTCACAATGATGCCCTAATTAGTCAAGTTTTTTACTTACGGGTTAGATCTCTCTATCAAAAATCCAATGAGTTTCATCTTTTTTATTAAAAAGAATCTACATTGCATATTTATATTTTATTATATTTATTTATATATTTTTTATACTTTTAATTTTCATCCAAACTTTAAAAATATAGAAATAATATGACATCTCTTCTGAACATTCATAAAATATTTTTGAAACCTAATTTATCCAATAGATGATCTAATACTAATATTTAAAATAGAATAGCCATACTTTATTAATCAATGCTACATTTCATTGATAGATCAGAGTTGTTTCAAATAATTAACAAGTGAATTGAATGGAATCATAACTCAAAAGAGAGTCTTTAATTGATTAGGAAAAAAAGAAAGTCTCTAATTTATTTTTAAAAAAAGAGATATTTACGGTGAGCAAGGTAAAATTGTAAAATTTGATCACATCAAACCAATAAAAAATATATTATTATTTTTAATTTTCCCCGAAAAAAGAGATGATCTTGTTACGACTTCACTCTAGTAATACAATTTTAACATGTGATTTACTAAAGCAAGAAAAATCTGACAGGATGGTCCAGATGACATAACTATTGATGGGGATGAGGAATTAAGCAAAGCAAAGGAATTATGTGATCATAAACCTTTGTTTCTGTCTTCCCTTACAATGTTTAACGCAAAAAATTGCAGCAATGGAAACCGTTTGTTTCAATTTTTATGCTACTTGGAAGAGAAGTCAGAACTGCTTGAACATATCACCATTGAACACTGCATAACACAACCATTTCTATTTGGCAATGAGTCTTCTAAACTCATTTCCTTGAAGGAATTGGTATTAATGGAATTACCTGACATGATGTACATATGGAAAACACATGTCCGTTACATTAAGCTCAATAATTTGAGAAACTTATACATCAAGAGTTGCCTTTCTCTGATGCTAGTCTTTCCTTATCAAGTTAACAACCTCAGCCAACTGAATGAATTGAAGATTCAAGAATGTGGGAATTTAACAAAAGTTATTCAACATGAATATCATCCCTTTAAATTTCTAGCATTGAGCAAGGTGGAGCTTATGTACCTCCCAGAATTAATCATGTTCCATACCAACACTTATTATAGAGAATTCCCAGTTTTAGAAACATTGGTGATAGAAAAATGTCCTAAGTTGCAAATATTCACTCATGGGCTTGCAACTGCATATCATTTGCCAACAGATAACCGTAATTCTTTCTTTAAGTTAAATGAACTCAGGTTGGATACTTGTCACACGTTGGTTTATGTCATTTCCTCTAATAGGACTTTACAAGAGTTTCCAAAATTGATGAAACTCACTGTAAGTCATTGTACCTCATTGAAAATGATTTTTAACATTGAAGAGGAAATATCATGTTCTATAGAGCTTTTGCAGCAGCTAACTGAATTGATTTTAATTGACCTACCCAATTTGACTCACATCATCAACAAAGAAATTATCAGGTGCTATAAATATCTCCAAATCCTAGAAGTGAAGCAATGCAAGTCTCTTAAATCACTACAAGCCTCTCAAATGCTAACAAATATGCAAGTTTCGGATTGTGAGTCCTTGGAGAAAATTATCATGATGGATGAAGGACAAGAGATGGGAGAGAATAAGAGCTCCTTTCCACTGTTGAAGTATGTTTCTCTTGAAAATCTAACAAAGCTCACAACTGTATTTCCTTCTACATCTCAATTTCCATCCTTGGAAACATTGATAATCACAAATTGTCCTGCTCTCATCACTTTTCGTGATGACTCCAATGACCAGAAGGATCACCCAGAACTTGCTACTTCAGACTATTTCTTCCCAAATTCTGTAAGATTATCAAAACTTAAGATATAATATTCATTTTCATTATATATATATATATATATAAACAATAAATCTTCTGCACTTTTGATATAATCTTATGGTCAATCTCACTTTTGTATCAAAGTCAAAGCCATCATGTTTATGATGGAAAGGAAATGAATGATATAATTGTACTAAACAACACCATCAATTATATGTCTATTACAGTTCATTTCATATTTCCTATGTAGTTTTGTTTTCATCTCCACTCCTAGACATTGATAATTACCATTTGTACCTTGCAGCTCTCATTGGAAAAGTTGAAAGTACTTTGTATAAACCAGGATATTGAGAAACTCTGGCACTACAATTGTCCCCCACAATCATTTTGTGAACTGGAAAATCTGACTTTGAGAAACAACAAATTGTTGAATGTCATCACATCCAACATGATCAAAAGATATGACAATCTAAAATCTATGACTCTGGACAAATGTGAGTTAATGACAGAGGTATTTAACATTGAAGATGACAAGCAAAATCAGAATATCCAAGAGATGTTTCCTCAACTAAGTACATTAGCATTGAGCAACCTAAAGAGATTGACATGTCTCTGGAGCAAAGAACCTCAAGTTCTATTTTTTTCAAATTTGATATCACTTCACATTATTCACTGTGGTAGCCTCAAAAGTTCATTCTCACCTTCTTCTGCCAAAAATCTTGGAAAACTCAAATTACTCAAATTGTGTGATTGTGAAAAAATAGAAGAGGTCATATCAATTGATAAAAATGAAAGTGTATCTATTATTTTCCCTGAAGTAGAGTGCCTTGTACTAAAAAATCTTCCAATGTTAGTCAGTTTTTGTCAGCAAAGTGAGACTTTTGAGTGGCCTAAATTACAAACAGTGAGGGTGAACAATATTTCAAGTATGAAGACTTTTTCAGGAGGTCATGTCAACACACCATTGTTAAGATCAGTTTATATAACATTTGTTAAGAAATACTGGCTAGGAAATTTGAACAAGACCATATCGTATATCCATCAAAATTTAGGTATGTAAATTTTAATATTATATGCAAAACTTAGAATAATATAAAAGTTAGTGATACATGTTTATACAAAATAACATCTTCTTTCCGAAATATGCCTATTGTAAGTTTTTAATTTAAATTATTAGACGACAATAATTTTGTTTTGGCATTATATTAACATGTTTCTAACTTTTTTGAAAAATGCTAAACTTTAGGACTGGAAATTCTAACTTTGAGCGACAACAATTTATTGTTGAGAGGCATTTCTTCCAATATGATCACAAGATACAACAATCTAATAAATTTGACTGTGGACAAATGTGAGTTACTAACTGAGGTATTTTACCTTAATGATGACAAACAAGATGAGAATATTAAAGAAATGCTTCCTCAGCTAAAGGCATTAACATTGAGCAACCTAAAGAGTTTGACATATGTCTGGAACAAGGAACCTCAAGTTCCTTTTTTCCCAAATTTGGTGTCACTCAACATTGTCCACTGTGGTAGCCTCAAGAGTTTATTCTCATGTTCTGCTACTAAAAATCTTAGTAAGCTAAAATTACTCAAGTTGTGTAACTGCCAGAAAATAGAAAAAATATTATCAGATGATAAAGAAGACAACGTATCCATCACTTTTCCTGAAGTAGAGTGTCTTATACTCAAAGACCTTCCAAAGTTAATTAGTTTCTGCCAGCAAAGTGGAACTATTGATTGGCCTAAATTACAAAAAGTAAGTGTGAGCAACATTCCAAGTATGAAGACTTTTTCAGATGGTCAAGTCAACACACCATTGTTAAGATCAGTTCATATAACATTTGTTAAGAAATATTGGCTTGGGAATTTGAACAATACCATAGCATATATCCATCACAATGCAGGTATGTAAATTCTAATTATACACTTTAAAATTAAAATATTATAGATTTAAATATATGTTTAAGCTTGTATATTTACAAAATTTTGATTTTAGTCAATCAGTACTTTTTAATAGTTTTAACCTCTCTTTTTTTCAATTAAATCTTGTTGACTCCTTCTGATATCATGACAAATTGTCATGTATTAACCTTTTGTTGTACTATGTTAATAAAAATGAACAAAATTACTAAATTTAAAAAGATTACGTGTTAAAACTAAAAACAAAGAACTAAATAAAAATCTTATATATGTAAGTATTGAAAATATGTTTAAGTCACAATTATAATATAACGTTGATACATAAACATACACAATAACATATGGTAAAACATATTTTCTTAAAATACTATACTATAGATGACAAAAGTTTTATTTTGATATTATTAATATGATTTCAAATGTTTTAAAAACAATGCCAATCTTTAGGATTTTGTGCTTTTTTTTTTAGTGGATTTTTTTAGAATCACTTTTAAACCTTGTAGAAAAGCAACTGCAGAATTATGATAAGACTTTTCTTTTCTTGAATTTTTTGAAGGATACCAAATTCAAATGAAATTGATGGAATACTAAAGTGTTGAGTAAAGTGTTTTTGTTTCTTGTATAAGTAAGGTAAAATTCACAATAAATAAGTGAATATATTAATTGTTTGATTGAATCTTAAATTCAATAGACAATCGATTTATGAATTTTTCCTTTCTTTAACAAAAAAAATGGCTTCTATGGAAATCTTATGTCAAATCTCACTTATATATTTCAAAATTTTATCTGCATGAGTTAATTCAAAATTAATGAAAATGCATAAAGCCAAGGAGAATGGAATTGAAGCAACTTATTTGGCACCAAAAGACAAAGAGGATGAGCACTGAGCAATAATAAGGCTTTTGTTTAGACTGTTTATCATGTGTAGGTAATCTCATACAGTGTAAGGATCATTTCCTTTTTAAAACAACAATTGTCACATATTTAATATTTCATACAAAATGATAAGGACATAAAATATTCAAATTATAGTATTTAAACTAAGTGAATGGAAAAAATAAATGTGTCAGGTTGTTGAAATAGAAAAATATTTTTTGAATTAAAAACAATGTTAAAGCATAATGAGAGTGAGTGTTAGAATTAGTTGACACTAATTATTAAATTCAGACACTTACAAATTTTTAAATAATCATTTATAAAATACAATATTGACCAATTCATGATTATGCATATCAAATTTCACATAATTAAAATATTTGTAACTATGCTATTCAAAAGTTGATATTTACTTATATTTTAGAAATATATTAAATATTAAAATAAAATAATATAATGAAATATTTATTATTTTTGTTTTGATATAAAATTCTACAAAGTTGATCTTTTTGATAAGAAATTTCAAACTAGTAGTTTGATTGATTAATCTTATATTTTATGAAAAGTTATTAACTAGTATAAATGTTTAAATTATAATATTATGTTAGTTATGATAAGAACTATAGAATTTTTGTTCAAAAGTTCATGATTGTTCTTAATATATATTATGTAGCTTTAAATGTAAGAAAAAAATGTATTTGATTTGGTAAATTTGGTTTATCGCTTATTAAATCTTTTTTTTTTTTCAATATTAGGAATGGAACATGGAGAGATGAAAGATAAGAACACAACAGAATGGAAAAGACCCCAAAAAATGCTGCAAAGTCATATGAACTAGTCAAAAACATGTGTAATGCAAGAGTTTCAGGTGTAATTTATACTGATGTAAATTTTTTAAAATACAGAATAATGAAGCACATGAGTTTGTAATTCATACTAATGAGGTGTAATTCATACTTATGTAAATATTTTTAAAATACAGAATAATAAAGTATGAGTTTGTAATTCATACTTATGTAACTATTAAAAGTATTTTTTAATAGTTATTTTAAACAAAAGTATCAATTAGTTTTTTTTTTTTTCTCTAACAATGCCATGTGACTTTTCATGTTTTGAGTTTTTCATCAACTTGTGTTGGTCTGCAAATATACAAAATGCTATTAAAATATATAAAGCTAAATGCAATTAAAAAAAGCAAATTTATGCTTACATATATTTTAGATATGACGGGTATGAAATCATCTTTCTTCATAAGGAATATAAATTAATTGACAATTTTATTATTAATTGCAGCTTTGTTAGACATAACTTAGGCCGGTCCAATCGTAAGGTCGCTTTGAGCCTACTCTGAAATAATAAAAAACAATGTGAACTTATCATACCTACCCTAGAACAAAAATTTCAAAAACTTGAAAGTTTTGAATTAAGTAAAAAGATAAATAAACTAAAGAATTGAACTTTGACTTATTAAATAATTTGATTACCAGTGATAGTAATATATTTAAATTTAATTTAATTTTTAACTAAATTAAATAGTGTTATTTAATTCTTGTAACTAATCACCTACTGAAATAAAGTTTGATTGTTGTTGATAAAAAGCGAGGAAGACATGAGGAAAATAAATTCTTACTTATCAAACCAATTTTTTAATTTTGCTATTTGTTTCCTTGCCTTTAAATAAAATTTTATATTAGTTCTTTTACGTTGTCGTCTTTACATTCTAAAACTCCCTTCAATTCATCAGTGGGTACTAATAATTATAAATTCTTTGAATAGATACTCGAATTGCAGTTATTAAGAGTTCCAATTTCATTATATTAATTCCAGAAACCTGTAACAACTTAGTCTATTTACTGAAATTTAGTGAACGGAAGATTGAGTCCAAACCCAACTTTTCCTTAATCAAATGTCAATTCACTTTAAGAGAGTACAAGCCAACGTGCATGTTTTAAAATCATACTGAGTAGTGTTCTGAAGACACTTGTAAAGGAATCAAAGCAATAGAAATACATATATACATGCATAATATAAACATATCATTTGATACGATAAAAATTTAAATAAAAATTACTTTCATTGAATCCTTTCCCGGTATAAAGTCTAAATAAGAGTGCTGAAGACACGTATTACCACTACTAAATCAGGATTTAAGGATAAAGTCACCACCTAAAGTTTAACCACAGTATCTATTCATGTTCAAAACTATCCTTTGCATTTACATCCGTAAATAAACTAGTAACTGAATCCCCTACGTTAGCCTTTCTTTGATCATTTTCATTTCCCATGAAGTTGAATGTCTTAACATTAGTAGTTAACACATAATTACTTTGCCCACTTTGTCTAGCTTATGTAGGATTCTTGATCGAGACAAATGCCACCTTCTTTGAACAAGAATGAAGTTTACCATTGGTAGAAGACCCGGATAATGTTTGCAAGCCAACCTCTGTTGAAAATTCGTTGATGTGGGCTTCTGTTGCGCCAAGATTTTTTCCTTCCTCATTACATTTGGTCTCCTTATCATCAATTTGTGATGTGCCAGTCAACAAATCAGTATTCATATCATCACCATTACAAGGATCTTCTCTGGCAGCAGCAACTGTTTCTGTTCTCTCTGGGACAAGCTGATCGTCTGCATAGTAAATTACTGAGCCTTGGTTAAAATTAATGACATCAATAAATTACAAGTTAACTTCGATGTACAATTGGTGATGAATGTACCAATAAAGGTGAGAGACAAGTAATTTTCTTGCTTTTTGTGAAGCAAGAAGGCCTAAGCCTGAAAAGCAATTTATTTGAGTCGTTTGTATTCAATTTCATGCATTCAAATCATTTCAAAAACTGTCAATCGTCGCCAATTTTTAAGTTTAAGTAAAAGAACTCTAGAAGGTAGAAACCATAGTGTAACAAACAAGCAGAGAAGACAAGATCAATCCAAATCTTCATTTAAACTAACTAGTTTTATGTTGCATTTACTAGAATTCACATGTTTGAGATCCATGATTACAGTATAACTATAACAACAGAACATTCTCTCCCAATCAACAGGACAAGAGTGTTAGTGGTTTACGTGTCAGTAATGTTAGTGGTCGTGTCAATAAAAACTCCTATTCTATAGGGCTGAATGGGTCTTTGTCAATTATTTTATTTGTTGTTTTGTTTTTGCCTACTTTAGTGCCACCAAGTACGTGCTTCATCAGTCAGTTTGTTTTTGCAAGTTATAAGGCTTATATAAGCCAGTCTTTACTTTTGAATAAACATGCAGTTAAAACATTTTGCCTCTGTTTTATTTCGTGCACTTTGCATTCCAACAATTGGTATCAGAGCTCCGTAAGGGGCCTGATCCAGAAAGTGTGTAAGCTATTTGCGAGGAGTGAAAAGAGCCAGATCTAGTGTGGAGAGTAATCTGATACAGAGAATGTGGACAACCTGAGAAAAGAGTGAGGGAGTAAGGATGTCTACATCAGAAAAGTTTGTTCAACCAGCCATTCCAAAGTTTGACGGCCACTATGATTTCTGGTCCATGACCATGGAAAACTTTTTGGGCAGTAAGGAACTGTGGCAACTGGTAGAAGATGGCGTTCCAACACTTGGAACCACGCCCACTAAAGCACAAAAGAGGAGTGCTGCTGAGGCAAATCTAAAGGATATGAAAGTGAAGAACTATTTGTTTCAGGCTATTAATAGAGAGATTCTTGAAACAATACTGGACAAAAGCACGTCCCAGGCGATATGGCGGTCCATGCAGCAGAAATACTAAGGCTCAACACGGGTTAAACGAGCTCAACTTCAGGCACTACGACGGGAGTTCGAGCTGCTGACTATGAAAGATGGCTAGAGGATTGATAGTTATCTGGGACGCACTCTTAGTGTTGTTAACAAAATGAAAGCCAATGGTGAAACTTTGGACTCAAGCATAGTAGTCAGCAAGATACTTAGATCTCTAACCTCAAATTTCAATTATGTGGTGTGCTCCATCGAGGAGGCCAATGACTTGAGCACTCTAAGTCTTGATGAGCTTCATGGCAGCTTGCTTGTTCATGAGCAACGAATGCAGAGTGTTCCATCTGTTGAACAAGTCTTAGAAGTCACTCATGATGATCGTGTAGGACCCAGTTGAGGTCGTAGTAGAGGAAATCGTGGACGGGGACGAGGACGTGGGAGACAACCTTTCAACAAAGCACTTGTTGAATGTTTCCAATGTCACAAACTAGGCCATTTTCAGTATGAATGTCCTGAAACTGAGAAGCAGGCCCATTACGCAACATTTGAAGATATAGCGGAGGCAGAAAATGAGATCCTGTTGGTAGCATATGAAGAAATGACACAAACTGTCCAGAGGGAAGACTGGTTTCTAGATTCAGGGTGCAGTAATCACATGACTGGTAATAAGCAGTGGTTTTCAAATATACATGAAGAAGGGCTCAACAAAAGTGTCAAACTTGGAAATGATACAACACTGAACGTTGCTGCCAAAGGAAGTATTCAAGTTCAAATCAATGATATTACTCATGTTATATCTGATGTTTACTATGTTCCAGAGCTTAAGACAAATCTCTTAAGTCTAGGACAACTTCAAGAGAAAGGTCTCGCTATCTTAATCCAAAATGATACATGTCAGATATTTCATCCAGATAAAGGTTTGATCATTCAAACTAACATGAGAGGAAATAGGATGTTCTGTGTCAGCTTCAACGATTCCCCAACAGTTTCAGTGTTTCCAAGCTGAAGACATTCCAGATAAGCCTCTGCTGTGGCATAAACGATTTGGACATCTCAACTTTCAAGGATTCAGCACACTTGCAAATAAGCAAATGGTGATTGGTCTCCCCTTTCTGAAAACTCCTAAGACTATATGCACTATTTGTCTCGTAGGGAAACAACATAGGGATGCCATATCAAAACAAAGTTCATGGAGGGCATCAATGAAACTCCAGTTAATTCATACTGATATATGTGGTCCCATTTCACCTGCCTTACACAGCAACTTAAGGTACATTCTAAGCTTTATTGATGATTATTTCCGTAAAACTTGGATTTACTTTTTGAATGAAAAATCCAAAACGTTCAATGCATTCAAGAGCTTCAAAGCACGTGTTGAAAAGGAAGCAGGCAAACCCATTGTTTGTTTAAGAACTGACCGAGGTGGCGAGTTCAATTCTAAGGAGTTTTCAAACTTCTGTGATCAACATGGTATCTCTAGGCAATTGACAGCTGCCTACACCCGTCAACAGAATGGCGTTGCAAAACGTAAGAATCGCACCATCATAAACGCAGTCAGAGCAGTGCTTCATGACAAGTAGGTTCCTAAATCCTTCTGGCTTGACGCAGTGCGATGGTGTGTTCATGTCCAAAACTGAAGTCCAACCTCTGCTGTAGATCAAGGAACCCCAGAAGAAGTGTAGAGTGGAGTAAAACCGCGTGTAGATTACTTCCGTACATTTGGATGTATTGCACATGTTCATATTCCATATCAAAAGAGAAGCAAACTTGATGCAAAGAGCCAACAATGTATTCTACTGAGTGTAAATGATGAGACAAAAGCTTACAAACTCTATGATCCTATTAACAAGAAAGTTCTTGTCAACAGCGACGTAGTGTTTGAAGAAGACAAAAACTGGAATTGGGATTTGGACATAGACGAAGGTACAGCCCCTGCTCTTGATTGGGGGAACAAAGATATTGAAGAAGTTGAAAATACAGAATCTGCATCTCAACCAGTTACCGTCAGCTATGATCAACCAAAAACACTCGAGCCAACTTCAGTACCCACTGATTCTCCAGTTGAAGGGAGGGCGACCAGAACCAAGAGACAACCATTATGGATGACTGACTACGAAACCAACTTATTTGTAAACGAGGAGAGTTCACTGGTGATGATGGCTGACTCCGAAAATCCTCAATCCTTTGAGGAAGCCTGTACAAGTCAGAACTGGAGAGAAGCAATGGATAGTTGGATACTGAAATAAAAGCAATTGAAAAGAACAACACTTGGGAACTTGTAGATCTTCCAGACGGGATTACACCCATTGGCATGAAATGGATCTTCAAAACCAAATTCAATGAACGTGGCCAGATAGAGAAGTATAAAGCCAGGTTAGTGGCCAAAGGCTATGCCCAGAAATATGGAATCAATTACACAGAAGTATTTGCTCCTGTGGCCAGACTTGACATAGTAAGAGTGTTGTTAGCCATAGCAGCTCAACATGCATGGGAAGTTTTTCAACTCGATGTCAAAAGCACATTCTTACATGGTGAACTTCAAGAAGAGGTATACTGGATTTATCAAGAAAGGGAAAGAACACCACGTATATAGACTCAGAAAAGCTCTACATGGACTTAAACAGGCTCCACGAGCCTGGTACAGTAAAATAGAAGCCTACTTTGCTAGAGAAAGTTTCGCACGGTGCTCAAGTGAACACACCTTATTCACAAAAAAAGGTTCACGGTAATGTTTTACTTGTTAGTCTCTATGTTAATGACTTGATTTTGACTGGAAATAGCAAAGCTACATGTGCAGAGTTCAAAAACTCAATACAATTGGAGTTTGACATGACTGATTTGTGTAAAATGAGACATTTTCTGGGAATAGAAGTAACGCAAAATGAAGCAGGAATCTTCATCTGTCAAAAACAATATACGCGTAAGATACTGGCTCAGTTCAACATGCTTGACAGTAACTCTGTTCGAAACCCCATGGTGTCAGGAACTATATTGTGCAAAGATGATGCAAGAGCTCCAATAGATGCAACCCAATTTAAACAAACTGTTTGTAGCCTCATGTATTTGACAGTTACACGACCAGATTTGATGTTTGGGGTAAGTCTAATCAGTAGATAGATGGCTAATCCTAAGGAGTCACATTGGGCTGCAACAAAACAAATTTTTAGATATTTAAAAGGCACCATAGAGCATGGTCTTTTCTACCAAAAAGGAAACAAAATGGGTCTCACAGCCTACAGTGATAGCAACTATACAGGAGATTTAGATGATAGAAGAAGCATCTCTGGATCTGTATTTGTAATGGGAACTGCAGCTGTCTCATGGGCTTCAAAAAAGCAGCCTGTAGTAAGTTTATCTACTACAAAGGCTGAATATATTGCTGCAGCATCTTGTGCACGTCAATGCATTTGGCTCAGAAGAATTCTGGAACATCTTGAATTAGAAGAAAAAGAAGCTACCGTAATTCTATGTGACAATAACTCAACAATCCAATTATCCAAGAATCCTGTTTTTCATGGAAGAAGTAAGCACATTGCAGTAAGATTTCACTTTCTTAGAGATCAAGTGGTTCAACTAAAATACTGCAATACTAACGAACAAATGGCTGATGTGATGACTAAAGCTTTGAAGCTTGATCAATTTGAGAAATTTAGACACATGCTTGGTGTAGTTAAAATTACTGAAACTTAAGGGAGGGAATGTTAGTGGTTTACGTGTCAGTAATGTTAGTGGTCGTGTCAATAAAAACTCCTATTGTATAGGGTTGAATGGGTCTTTGTCAGTTATTTTATTTGTTGTTTTGTTTTTGCCTACTGTAGTGCCATCAAGTACGTGCTTCATCAGTCAGTTTGTTTCTGCAAGTTGTAAGGCTTATCTAAGCCAGTCTTTGCTTTTGAATAAACATGCAGTTAAAACATTTTGCCTCTGTTTTATTTTGTGCACTCTGCATTCCAACAAAGAGAAGCTATTGATTATAAGTTATATGAACAAGTGATTGAGTTTAGTACTTTCTTAGTTTCTTACATAAAATTGTTGAGTCCAGTAATATAGTTACAAAGAATGACAATTGTTTCAAGTATCAGAACTAGAACATTTGTTATAAAGCAGTTAAATATCACCATAAACTGAACAATTCAGTCCAAATTAAATATGAAAATAAATAAGATCTAGTGAACATGGAACAGCAGAAGCATGCACATCATGGTTCTTACCCCCGAGAAAAGATTCAATACTATTATAATGAACATTTGATGTTTGGACAGAGACACTTCCACCAGAGTCCTCAACTTGACTTTCATTCTCCTTTTCATACTTCCTCTCTAGTAATATAAACTTGTCCGATTTCCAAACACACTCTAATGTAACAAAATCATCACTAACAGGGTAAAAATCTCTAAAAACCTGCATCAGTAGTATACATCAAAAGAGCCAGAAAGAGAAATATGAGCACGTAGGATATTATTTTGGATTCCTATCCATGTCTATGCGACTATGCATATATATATATATATATATATATATGCAACAGAGAATTTAGCGGAGCAGACTAACCTCAATTCCTTTATGAGTTATTTTTATCGATTGCTTCGTTTTAGAGAGCGAAGAAACCATGTTGAACAGAAAAACAACATCAAGCAATATCTGTGCAAGGAGGGAAAAACAGGTTTGATTAACAAAATCAGAAGTTCTATAAGAATGATTCACAATCCCAGATTGTTATAATCAGTATTAAAATAGCAAAAATTCTATAAATTTACAGAATCTATTGTCATCTTAATAATATCACTTTTACTTTTAGCTAATTTACAAATAACCTCTACATCAGTAATCCACAACAAATAATTCCAATTAAAAATGATAAAACATAGATTAAACTATTATATATAAACATGTGAGACTTACTTGTTGAACCAGAACTCGAAGACGTGCAAGCAAAGCCATAATTGTCAGAGAAAATCCCATAAAAAATGATCGTGCAAACAATAGAGACACCTCACTAACAAATAGTCAAGGAAATAAATTTTATGTTGCAATTTTAACAGATTACTAATAAAATGTTCCAAGAAGTATCATGAAGGCGCTAGAGAAACCAGCATTATCAGTGACAAAAAATTCTAAGGGTATGTGCATTCTATTTTCTGAAAGTATAAAGAATTTGAGAAAGCAAGTAAACTCCAAAGGTTTTACAAATAGCATTGCAGTTAAAAAATTTAAAAAAAAAAGAAGTGAAAAAAATGAAAAAAGGAATGCTACAAGCATATTATGGACCATGTTATATCATGTGGTAATACTAAGTACCAACTAGTACATATTGTATGAATAAAAAAAAAAAAATTTATATGCCTAATGCCATGATCAGAGTATGACCAATTAACTAAAATAAAGCATATAGGATCAATGAGCCAACCATTAAATTACATTACACATCATATCAGTAGCAAAAGGATACGATGCAGCCTTCAGTATTGGTTCAACCATCTGCATGAAAAAAAAAGAAAAAAGAACACTGTGTGAAATCCATTAGAATCAAACAATTTGTGTGAAATCCTTAGTGTCATACTGTATACATACATGGAAAGAAGATGGCTAATGAAATATCACAGTAAAAACACACTGATCATGACTTAAAAAGTAAGGAAAACAGTTATAGCATTAGCAACAATAATATTTATCTGCAATGTCACCTCTGCTAGTAAGCGTGCAGCTCCTAGAAGATGCTCCATAAAATTATGCTTTTCATTATCACATTTTCTCCTTTTTAAGCTGTAACGAAACAGTAAGACAACAAAATAATCTTCAAGACAGGAGTTATAATATTATCATACACCAAAGGAAAAATTTCATCATAAAAACATTTCATAAGCCAGAAATAATTAAAACAACAAAATATATGACCCTAAGATGTTCAACTGTGGGAGAGAAGAAGCCATCTCTAACAAGAGTATTGTTAGAAAACAATCATCACAAAATAAGGGATATGATTAGATAACTAGATATATGTAACTATAAATTAGTGATTTATTTTTGTTCTTTTGTATTTATGATTGATTCTGTTGTACAATTCATGTGTGATAACATGACACACAACATTCATACACTTTCTCTCTATAAGCACAATCATTTTTTTATTTTTTTTTGTAATAATGTTGCCATGTCCATATTCACACATTCTTTAACCATACATGCATGCACAACATACAGCTCTAACAATGTGCATCCAAGGCATACTAGAACTAGTGCCCCCCCCTCCCCTCCCCCTCCTCCCCCTCCCTCCATTCGGTCAGTAAGGAATACTAATACTAATTTTGACAGTTGTTAGAGAGGAACTGCGATGATATAGACTCAACACATTTGAACAATTCAATCATATCACCATACCAGTTATCATAATTTTATAAGAACCGCTTGAATTAATTCTTCCTTGTACATGATTCGGGAAAAGTCCAAAATAGCAAAAAATTGTGTGGAATAAGAACCTACCTCTCTAAAAGATGAACCTTCTGTTTTGGTCTATCTCCTTTGATAACAAGGAAACATGATGTTACAAGCTCCTCCAAGTTTGCCAATTGCAAAAGCCTTAAATCCCTCCTCACCTACGAATTACAATACAGCAGAAAACCCAAAAGGACATATAAATAAACCTTCCATACATGAAAGCTCAAATGTACATATACATGTTCCATTCAACTTTCCAAGCAAATCAAATTACTTTTAAAAATTTGTATATTTCAAAGAAAAAAATAGTATCACAAAATTTTCAAACACTAACCAATTTCATATAATTGAACACTGACAATAGCGGAACTATAATGCATAATTTGTAGTAGAGTACCTTCAACAGACGCTGAAAATAGGAACAGCGCCGGTGCTGATTCTTATTCTTGTATACCATTCTTTGTAGGATGCCACACTCAGATTGGAGCTGGGCAAGCATAGATGTTATCCTTGCCTCAATTGTTTCCAATTCAGTACCCATTGAGTTCCTGCAATTTAATCCAACAAATACTATCTAAAAACAACATAACGAAAAAAAATGGCTCATGCATTAGTGATACAAATAGCCAAGTTAACCAAAAAAATAAAATAAAAGTTTAATTCTTACAGAAAGAAATTAAGATTGAACATGAATGCAAATCAGTGTTAATAATTAGGGCACAAGCCAACCAAATAAAAAATAGTCATAACCGATTTGGGTTTCAACTGGTTTTAAATCCAACTTTTTGGGTCCAAAACTAGTTTTCAAAGCTGGTTTTTTGGTTTCAAAACTAGAACATGCTTGACGGTTACATACTTTTATACTCGGTAATTAATGAAAATTTTGAAAATAGCAAAAATTTAGACCTCTTCATCATTGGCCATTAGACTGCATTGCGAAATATATCATAGTATTCTTGAGAAATATATGAACACAAAATTTCTACCCAGGGTATTTTAAGGAGAGAGAAGCTAAGGTGGAGTAAAAGTGGCTTCAGTGGATTAGCAATATCTGAAGGGACCTAACACTAAGGCTTTTGACATTTTATAAACTCAACCTAGTATCACAATATTTGGTTGCACAACTGTACAGAACTGGACTTTGCTTGCATATTGTTACAGCTAAACATACTGTACGTATGTACCTAGCATAATTCTAATTGGCTATCAACGGTCTAAAATGAATCTTGTTATCGCAAAACTTAAGCCAAAAAGTTCTGATTTTTGCTGTACACAACAGCCTGTAATAATAGTGAATTTGATGAGCTAATTTGGACAAGAGTGCATTCAGTAATTTTCTCCAAAGATTTAAACTGAACACAACTTGCGCTCATGGTTTCAAAACAGGATAATGCACTACTAGACTTAAATGTATTGAAATTTAACGACAGACTCAAATTCAAAACAACGTATCATATCATTTAGAAAAAAGATAGCTCCAACAAGGCAACAATTAACATCCAAAGTGAAAATGCATTGTGAATTCACATGCCATAGAGCAGAGAAATAGGGGGACAAATTAGAAAGAGAACAAATATGTAAGAGTTTATAGTATCTCAACAGAAAAGGAAAGCATGCTTCTTCAAAGGCTTTCCACTTTTACAACTAACAAATTCAGAATCCCTTTCTTCTGCCCCTTTGACCTGTGAACCACTTAACAGTTTTAACTATCTTGTTCCATCTAACAAACGATCTGTGCCCGGTAAGTGTTTGACTATTTTCCTCTAATGGAACGATTGATAACAATGTGCCTCATCATTCATCAACGTACCATACAAATTACAAAACATATCCCAAAGCAAATAACAGGAAATTATAGCACTGAGGAAAAATTAAACTCAAATACTCATATCAAGCATGCATAAACATCATACAACGAATCAATCATTCACACACCTGAGATGAAGAACAAGGTGTGAGCAGAAGGTGCGTTAGAGAGTGGAGCAATAGAAAGAGTTAGAGGACTCGAACAACAACGTGCCAACAGAAGCTGCGCTTCGAGGGATTAGGCGCTCTCAGTGAAAATTAAGTGGTTATTTGATTTGCGATAAGAGAGAATTATTAAATAATATTTTTCTCACTTGTTTAGATAAAGAAAATTTAAAAAAAAAAAACTTAATTTAATTTTTTATTATAATACTTTTTAATAAAAACTATTTTTTTATAATTTATATTATATTAATTTTAAAAAGATAAAAACAAAGTTAAAAAGAAAAAAAAAAATTCTCGTACGCCCCCACTCGGCCTTTTTTGAATGCTACTTCTATTTTCTTGATCGGAGATTTTATTTCGATGGACCAAATATTTTTTTTAAATATTAATAATATATTATTTAACATTTTTCACTCTTAATTTAATATTTTTCATATTTTTATAATGTTTAATAAATTTTAATAATTAACAAACAATATGTTAAAAATTATTTTATTAATTTTTTTTATGTAATACAAACATAAAAAAATATTAATTTTTTTATTAGTTAGCATCCTAACAAAAGCTTAAGGGAAGCAATTAGAGATTTTAATAATATATCTTTTGGCAATTTCAAATTTGTTATTATTAACTATAACTAGTAATTTTCCTATTTATTACACAGATATCATTAAATTAGAAATAATTAATTAATAAAAAATATTATATTACTATTTTAAAATGTTACAAATTAAAAAATAATGTCATTATTAATAATAAGTATTTTATTATATTAAAAAATAATTTTAAAATAAGTTATAAAAAATTTAAATTAATATTTTATTAAAAGAAAATAATCTCTATAAATATTTTTATTTGAAAAAAAATCTTAAAAATAATTTCGATCAAGAATTAATACTTACAAATTATATTTAAAAAGTGTAAAGAACTTTTAAAAATACGAAAGAGTAGAAAGCTTTAAAGTAAATATCTCTAAGATTTTGAAGATCAACTTAATAATATACTGTAAAGTTTGGTATGAAATCTTCAATTATTAATGTGTCATTAGTGTAATAAAATGGTTCTAAACATACATTAAAAGGCTTAAATTTCAATGACTCATTGAATATTTCAACTATTAAGGTAAGAAAATTGTCACCTATTTTTATTAATTGTGTTGAATTACTCACTGACTCCATCATTGGACTACACTTTTCAGTTAGGTACACACTCTCCTTGCTATTTCAAGTTCAATTCTAGGAGCATCTAATTATTTACATCTAATTAATTTGCACAAGGGTTGTTTTTTTTTTTTTTTTCTAGACTGTATTAGGGTTATATAAGATTTAAAATTTAGAGCATAACTTCTATTATCTAATCATATATACAGTGATTAGGCAAAACTAACTTATCTATTCTTGCGATGATGAAGAGAAAATATTTTTTGAATTTTAGAAAAATATTTAAATTGAGAAAAGATTTTAAAAAATTACTTCTTTTATTTTATAAATAAACTCACTTTTGCTTATGGTTCAAATTAACGTATTGATTGTTTTGTAATAAAGAGAAGTGTCTTACGGTATTATTGTCATAGAAATTATATTCATACAAACTTATTATTAATGTTTCTTGAAAGTTATTTCTGTTTTTTCTAACAACTATACCAAAGTATAATTTAATTGTAATTTATTATTATCAATTTAATAATCATAGAATAATGACAGTATTATTATTTAAATGTTACCCAAATATAGATGAATTTTTAAAAGTTTACAGATAGATTTTAGAAATACAAATGAATTAGAGTTGTTTGTAATATCTTTGTTGATAAATAAATATAAACCTATTTTTTAATTCATCTATAATTTATAAATAAATTTTTTTGTCTGTAATATACAAATAGATTTGTTTATCTGTAACTTATAAACGTATTTTTTCATTTGTAATCCATCTATAATATCTATTCTGACTTTTTTTATACTTTTTATTTATTTGTATAATTATTTTTTGTTATTCATAATTATCATAATTTGTAAACATAATAAAAATTACAAAATCATAAATTGAAATTCAGAAATTATTTATAAAATGTTAAATTCAAATGTCATTAAAATTAAAGATGTAAACATTCAAATAAATAATGTAAAAATTAAAATAATAATGTTTATTATGAATAGTAAGTATGATTATTATTAGAAGGAGTATCATTATTAGTAGAAGAGAAGAAGGAGGAATGTCGTATGGAGTCAAAGGCTAGTGGTGTTAGAGCTTGTAGAAGAGGAGGAAGAGGTGTAAAGTTGTTTGCTCTCATTAGCTCAAAGTATGCATACATCTATTACATAATGTTGTTGCTACATATGCTACTGCACTTTTTTCTACATACTCGATGTCACCTTCTTCTCTATCTTATTCTTCATTTTCTTTGCCCACTTCTTCTTTCATGTACTCTCCTTCGTCTTCCACATCTTCTCGATATGCTTCTAGAGTTCTTCATTTAGGACATGGACCTGAGTATGGACTATGTCCTCCACTTTCTCAGGTACAAGAGACAGGACATCTCCGGTGATAGATGCAGTAGATATGGAGTCTCCAAAGCAGCCACCCATGCCATAAATGTAGCCTTTATAAAAACCACTCACTAACTTTGACCATATAGAATCCTCATCAATAAACTCTTAGTCCTGAGAAGATATCTTTTTAAGCCTTTAAACATAGTCATCCTACAGTATAGATAATTATATATTAGCCTTGATAACTATTTAATAAATCTTTAATAATAAAATAGTGTTAGTAACTCCACTTACATATGTGGCTTGAGATCGTGTATCAACCCACTGGATTTTTTCTCTCACTGCCAGTATTTGTCTCCTTGAACACCTTTCCATGCGTAGGTGGCCTCTTCAATAATTTCTTCTACAATTTCAATTAAATCACCATCTCAAATATCATTTATAAATTGAATAACATAAATTTTAAAAAAATTTGAAAATCACATACCAAGTTTGCCTTAGTGTCATCCAAAGTCATAAAGCCACCATATACAGTGATCCCCTTTTAATATATGCTTAGTTTGTCTTGTTCTTTATAGATATATTTTTAAACTCATCTGTATCCCAATACTCTTACAAGGCATGAAAGAAGTAGGGTACTATCTAATCTGTAAATGATGGGTCTTGACGAGCCTTAATGTACATATATCTTAGTTACTTTGTAGTGTGACTCTTTCAAATCTTAAAAATCATCTTCTCATCGTGGGGTAATAGAGAAGTTACTCTAAATAAATACAAAGTAATTAGTACAAGTATAAGAAATAATATCTAATTACATTTAGCTTAAATTAATTGATTGTTATTACCTTTCAATCTTTGAACCATTCTAACTTTATATCCTTAGGCACCTTTGCAAAACTTGTGTAAGACACATCAAACATCTTCTTGATAGTATCTGTCACCTGGTAGAAACTCTTCTGTGGTGGTATCCAACTGAACACGTGATAAAATAACACCATTATTATAGCATTCACATCAAATAGAGTTATTAGGCATATTTTGAATTTAACTTATCAAGTGGACATATCTCATCTCAAATCTG